GTGACCTCAGAGCCTGGGACCCTCTCAAGGTCTGAGGGGAGACATGACCTGGGGTGGTCCAGAATGTGACCACAAAGAAAGGAGAGATAACTGCCACCAGGTGTGCCAGTTACCTAGGCAATACAGGTACTGGGTGGAGACTTAAACAAGAGGGTTGGGGGGAGGTATCTACAAAGAGCCTTCCAAGGTGGACCTTGCATCTCCAAGGTGATAAGGTTTTAAATTGCAAATTTTTTTTAGCTGTGCTTTCATTTCACATAGTTGTGATTAATGAAACAGCAGTTTAAGTCCTAAAAATGGCATTGATTTTCTGGGTAAGCTGTCACTTATGTGGGAGCATATCCACAGCTGTGGTTTTGTTGTTGTTGTTTCATTGTATTTGAGTTTACCTGCTTCTTTTTGTGTGTGTGTTCCTGGTGGTCCTGGAGCTTGACCTCAGGGCCTGGGTGCAGTCCCTGAGCATTTTGCCTAATTTGTCTATCAAATCTGGCTTTTTGATGGTTAATTGGAGAGAAGAGTCTCATAGACTTTCCTGCTCCAGTTGGCTTCAAAATTTGATCCTCACATCATAGCCTCCTGAGTAACTAGGATTATTGGTGTTAACCTTCAGCACCTGGCTCTTGTTTCTTAATTCATCTCATAATTTGTCTGGATCCTCTACCTTTCAGTTGAATCATTCTGCTTTGGACTCTCCAATGGTGCCACATGTGAGATCTGTCATCTTTGTCTCCTTTTATCACTCATATTTTTTTAGCTGCCATTCCAAGTTTTGTTTCCTTAATGAGTATAATTCATCTGTTTAGTATATAACTTTAATTGACAAATATTGAACACTACAAAATAACTTTCCTTTTAGTAGGAAAATTCAAACTGGGAATTCAATACCGGGCTTCATGCTTATTAAACATTTTTTTTTTGCTTTAGTTTTTTTTTTTTTCAGCTAGGGTCTTACATTTTGTCCATGGGCCAGAATGGGCCATTATTTTCTTGCCTATGCATAGAGTGTAAAAAGACAACTGTATGCCACAACCCTGACCCTGTGAATTGAGATAGAGTTTTATTAATGTTTTGCCAATCCTCAGTAGCTGGGGTTACAGTTATGAGTCACCATGCCTGTAAAATCACTTTCTATAGTACCCACCTAAATGATACATTTTTCTCTAATTTCCCTTCCTTTTCTTCAAGTTTTCATCCTAGTAAGAATAGTAAAGTTTTAGCAAGGTACAATAGTTTATGCCTGTAGTCCTAGCTAGTCCAAAGGAGTATTATGGTTTGAGGCCTGAATAGTTCATTTCAACCAGGTAAAGCTCAGTGTTGGGGCATATGTCTTTCATCCTTGTTACAAGAGAAGCATAGATAGATGGTAGTCTAGTCCAGCCAGGGCATAAGTAGAAGATTCTATTTGAAAAATAATCCAAAATGATAGTAGTATGGCTCAAGAGGTGAAACTCCTAGCTACTAATCATGAGATTCTTTTTTTTTAGTTACTTTTTAAAAAAAAATTATTTTTTTACTGTGAAAATACTGTACAGAGGAGTTACAATTACATGGGCAAGATAATGAGTACATTTCTTATCAAGCATTGTAGCCTCCTCCTTTGTTTCCCCTTCCCATCCCTTCCCATCCTCCCCCGCCCCCCCACCAAAGTTGTAAAATTTGTTTTTGACATAACGACTTGTACTTCTCATTGTTGCAATGGGTCCACCTGTATCCCTATTTAAACGACTTGTTTTTTCCCCTTCCTCTCCACAAATTATACCGACATCAAATACAGTGAAAGCACGGGTTATACTGTGGGGAAGGACATACAAAGCAACAAATTGTTTTCACTCTTTGCCTTTCTGCCTCCACAATTTGATCAAATCCTCTTTTCCTTCACCCTTGTCAATTCCTTTCCAATGATCTAGTTGTTTTCCTTCCCTGTCCTGCTTCCTCTCTCTTTTTCACAACTTTACCCATGTCCTGCCTTATTTTACCACTACTTCCTCTTTTCCTCTGTTTAATGAGTCTGCTCATTGTCATCACAGCTCCCTTTAAAGGAAGTTGCTCATTACTCCCTCTAGTTTTTCTTTCCAGTTCAGTTTTTACACATTATCCTATATCAATGAGATTATCATTAATAATACACCTGTTTTCAAGGAAATGTGAAAGAATCTCCACATCATTTGTCTTGACTCTTACATTCTCTGCTTTCTTGTATCCTTCTTTGAAGAAACAAATGTACCCAAATATTAAATGTACTGGATATTGAATCTGATTTTTTTTAAGTACTGAGTCAGTCTTTTAACTATTATAATGTATTTAGAAAGTGGTTCAGGATCCATGTTTGAGCACTTGTCTAGAATGAATGAGGTACCAGGTACTAGTATCATAAAAATAAATAAGGCACAATATTTGTATTGTTTCTATGTAAGTATATGAAAAAGAAAACATTTGTGTTGAACATGCTTTTGTTATTCGATTCTAATATGCTGGTTGCTCATGCCTTAATTCCTAGCACCTTAAAAGGCTGATATCTAAGGATCACAATTCAAAATCAGTCAATCCAGGAAAATCCATAAGACTCTGGTCTCCAATTAATCACCAAAAATCTGGAAGTGACTATAGAGATAGAACACTAGCCATGAGAAAAGGAAAAGAAATTTAAATAAAAGCTCAAAGTGAATGAATGCCCATGCCCTGAGGTCAAGCCCCTGGACTAGCACGTGTGTGCAGACACACACACACACACACACACACACACACACACACACACACACACACAAAATCAAATGAGAATTTTTTAATTATAAAGAAGATGCTTTATGGAGGGACATAGAAATTTACATTGTTTTATAAGAAAACAAAGTAAATATTTTCTTTATTATATGACACTTTACTTTCCCTTCAACTCATACCATCCCATTCACAATTGAACAAACCCCAGATTTTCTTTGAAGCTTTGAGAAGAATATGGTATGCACGCAGGATCACCAAATATTCAAGGGTTAAAATGTAAGAGTTTTATTTTCCTTTCATCAAGCAAATTCTACAGACAGAGCATCCATGTTGTGTGAGCTACCAAAGAAGGATGTATGTGACAGACTTACGTTAAATCATTATGTCATAGAGAAGTCATATGTTTCATGTTCACAAGAAAGAAAGCTGCTAAAATAAAAGCAGACTCAATAAATAAAAACATAAGCTGATTTCATTGTCTTTTATATCTACCTCCCACAATATTCCCTTAAGCTAAGAAGAAATCAGTATCACACAGTTCAGGATTCTGTATACACATAAGATATTACATACTACAAAATGATATGATTATATGTAGTTTTGCACAATTTAAGCTTAAGTAAAATTTATATTTTAAAAATGACCTTGTTAGATTACCTTCAGTAAATGGAGGCCATTTGAACAGTCCATTAGCATTATTAACAACAATAAAAAGAAAACTAAATAAAAATATTCTCAAAACATGTAAGCTATTTGTGTGAGCCTGGATAATTATCTGCTTTTTTCTCTCTGGTCTCTTAAATTATTTCTACTGGACATCTCTTATTTTTTAAGAAAAATGGAAGAAATTGTTCACTGCTTCTCTGTAGTGTCTCCAGTAAGAGTATTAGTTAGGTTTCCAACTGCAGCACAGTTAGCAAGAAGATTGCTATAGGATTATCTAGGAGTGGAACAATAGTGAATTAAGAAAATAATTGGGAATGGAGTTCCTTGATGAGTTATAGTCAAACAGCAAAAGCAGGAGTAAAATAATTCTTCACTCACTGTGGAATGGTTGACCCTATATCCCAATTTCTGTTGCTGACTCTCCCAACCCTGAAAACTCAGCAGTGAAGGGTCAGTTTTTCCCTGATGTTAATTTTCCTATGTTCATTTACTCCAAGCAGATATTGATAATGCTTCTCTTTTAGAACTGAAAGTTCCTGATTAGGCAATGCTGGACTACATAAATGGAAAAAATTATCTTGATAGTAATAAAGTAAATATTTGTACCTACTTAAAATTGCAGAGTAACTTATGCTAAAAAGTACAATGCACTCTAGTGATTTTAAAATAAAATAATAGATAAACATTGCAAACATTGGGCTGGGAAGTTTGCTCAATGGTAGAGTGCTTGCCTTGCATGCATGAGGCCCTGGGTTCAATTTCTCAGCACCACATAAGCAGAAAAAGCCAGAAATGGTGCTATGGCTGGAGTGGTAGAGCACTAGCCTGAGCTGAAGAGTTGAGGGAGACCACCCAGGCCCAGAGTTCAGGCCCCACAACTGGACCAAAAAAAAAGTCGCAAACATTTTTACCAGAATTATCTTTCCTCCTCCAGAGATTACAGTGTACTACACATTGTAGCATAAATAGCAGTTTGTCACACACATACAACCTAAGGCTAAATTATGCCACTAAATGACATTTTGTTGAAGGTCAAAGACTGAAGGCAGGGTTTGGTACAAAATAAGTTAATTATTTCTTAATGACAACAGATTTATAGCTATGAGGGTGTTTAATATGCAGCTCTTAGCCTTCTTTTCCCTCCTGTGACATTTCATTCAAGGCACAAAAGATTATAAACAGTGAACAGGACAGAATATTTTGAATTTCGAATTTTAAGGTTCCACACCTTTTATTTCTGGTTGAAGCATAGCAAAGGGACAGAGACGAAATTAGGTAAATTGCTCTCAAAATGAATTGATAATTAAATCATCTGGAAGTCCTTGCACTTTAGTTTTGTAAAGAATTTAATATCCTATTTTATTGGTTGAAAACATAATTTCATAATTTGATTTTATTTACTGCTATAATTTCTTATTAAATATTACGTGAATTGCTCTTATCAACCAATTTTTTATGTTTGTCTATATCAGAAACAATTGTTTAATTTGGACCAACCAAGTAAATTATGTTTGAGAAGAATAGAAGATTTGAAAGTTAAGCTATCATTTAAACAATGTACTGTTAAGTCAATGCACTGTAAAACTCTTCCTTCGGAACCTGTATAATGGGGCTACTTAAGCATCTCCAACCCACACAACAGTGTTGCCTTTTTCCACATCAGTGATCTCACAGTTTAACTTGTTAAGTCTTCCATCTAGAATGAAGAGAGAGTCCTTGGAAGGTGTCATCAGGTACTGACCAAACAGGCCACTGCCTTGGATTTGTCTGTTCTTCCAGCTCCAGGGCCATTCTTCTGCCTTGAGTGGCTCCTTCAGGCTCTTGATCATCTTGACCTTCCCTGAGGAGAGCTCTGCGAAGAGTGCATCTGTTTGGTAGCTTGAGCTGCAATAGACATTGTACTGGTGTGCTTCTGTGAAGGATGGCTGAAAGGCTATGTCAGAAATGTGCAGGTTTGTGTGGATGGCAAAGGCCTCTTGGACCTCTCCTCTGATAGTGATGTACTGCACCCACACCAGCCCTTCTGTGTTGCTAACGCTGACAAGATAGTGACCATCTGGAGACACATAGGGAGTGCCTGTCACATCATTGTTGAACCCAATGACAGAGTCTGTCACACCATCCACCACTAGCTGTCGGGAACTTACTCCAGAACTGAAAGGTTTGCAGCCAATGAAGTAGAGCCCTCCCAAGTGGGTATAGGCCAGCGACTGTGGGACACAAGTGTATGCCTTCAGGTCAATTGTCTTGATGTATGACATGGTTTCCAGGTCAATTTTTTGTAATGTAGCTTCATCCTTGTGAAGAATAAATCCAAACCTGAAAAGACAAAAGCCAAAGTTAGACAGGAAGCTGTAGAGTAGTTGCAAGAAGAAAACATGTTTTAATAATTAGAATGTGACTGTAAGTCTACAAATAAACCCAATGGATATTAAATGACAAAAAAATTGACACTTGGCCATGTTTAATTAAACAGGATTCTAAACATTCACACAGTAAGACCAAAGGAGGATATTCTTAGGAGAGCATCACAAGGGTTCAATAATTATAAAATGATGCTTACTGAAGTGAACTCCAAGAAATGAAGATAAGAGGTTTTTTTTTAATTGTACTATTTACATTTTTTTTTCTTTTTTCTTTGTTTATTTCCCTTTCATTACTGTCTTTGATTTCTGTACCCTTTGTCTTATATATAAGTGAAGTAATGAGACTGGTCTATGCTTCCCCTAGATAATTGGCCCTTGATTTACTCTGATTGTTTTCCTAGATAGTTTTCTTTTCTACTACATTTAAGTGACTTCATCTGCTTTGCTTTGCTCATGTACAACACTTTTGTTGGGTTTGAGTCCACAACCTTCTGTGATTTGGGCCAATATAAGCTTTGTGCTAGCTGCATTCACTGCTGCTGGTCTTTGAGACAAGTCCACCAATAGTCCTCTGGCTCTCCAATAAAGACTCATAATTTGACCTTTTAAGTGGTGGTTTCTCTGTTTCTTGTGACTGAGTTTCCTTACAACGTAAGTTTACCTGATTTGGGAAGGGAAAGGGAAAGCACATAAATGGTGGAACAAAGGGTAAACCAATTCAACAGTGATACTCACTAGTCATTATGGTGTAAATGAACTATACAACTTGGGGAGGTCAGGGAGACCAGAGGGGAAAAACCTAGAGAAACTGAGGGAGGGTGTGACACTGTTCAAAAAGAAATATATTCATTATCTGACTTGGATAATTGTAACCCCTCTGTACATCACCTTTACAATAAGAAAGAGGAAAACATGGACAGGAAAAGTTCCAACCCAAGAAATAAGCATTGACTAGCAGTCATATTTAAATTAATCTTCTGAGCTAACTACCTCCTATTTTAAGTACATCATTCTCTATATCCAAAGAGCTAAAACTCATACTTGAGGAAGCAAAATAATTTTAAGCTATATACATAATTAAAAAACAAATATGGGATTTAAGATATAAGGGAAAAAAGGAATCATTACATTATATGTGAACTCTTCTGGTTCTGAATAAGATTGCTTACCTGATATTTATCAGCAAACATAAAGGCTTGTGTGTGTGTGTGTGTGTGTGTGTGTGTGTGTGTGTTTTCACTCATTTCATTTATCTAATTTGCTTTTATCAATACTAGGGGTTGAATGAAGGTCCTCATCCATGCAACTGTTCTACCACTATGCAATATTCTGAGCTTAGTTAATTTCTTTTTATTGTATTTTATTTTTTATTTGTGAACATACTATACAGAGGGGTTAAAATTACATGGGCAGGAAAATGCATACATTTCTTATCAAGTATTGCAGCCTCCTCCTTTGTTTACCCTTCACATCCCTTCCAAGCTTCCCCCCCTCCACCCAGTCCTCCCCCCATCTCTCCAACACAACACCAACGTTGTAAAGCTCGTTTTCGACATAACAACTTGTACTTCTCATTGTTGCAACAAGTCCACCTGTATCCTTAAACAACTGGTTTTTCCCTATCTCCTCCACAAGTTATACTGACATCAAATATAGTGAAAGCAGGGGTTATACTGTGGGGGAGGGACATACAAAGCAACAAAGAAATAATCTTATAAATGCATTAGAAACAAATGCATGAAAGAAAAAACATTAAAATACATATCTAAGGGTTCATTTTCCTAACATCACATTATCTGACCTTTTCCACTTGACTCATACATATACTAGATATTGCAAATAAGGGAAACCATGGGGCCTATGTTTCTTTGGGCCTGGCTTACTTCACTTAATATAATTTTTTCCAAGCCTTTCCATTTCCTAACAAATGGGGAATGTCATTCTTTCTGATGGAGGCATAGAATTCCATTGTGTATATATACCACATTTTCTTGATCCATTCATCTACTGAGGGGCATCTGGGTTGGTTCCAGATCTTAGCTATGGTAAATAATGCTGCAATAAACATAGTTGTGCTGGTAGCTTTAGTGTGGTCTTGTTTGTAAACATTTGGGTAAATGCCCAAAAGTGGGATTGCTGGGTCATAGGGGAGCTCCATGTGAAGCCTTTTGAAAAACCTCCATACTGCTTTCCAAAGTGGTTGAACAAGTTTTCATTCCCACCAACAATGAAGTAAGGTTCCCTTCTGTCCACATGCCCTCCAGCATCTGTTGTTGTTAGAGTTCTTGATTTTTGCCATTCTAACTGGAGTGAGGTGGTATCTCAATGTTGTTTTGATTTGCATTTCTTTTATGACTAGGGATGTTGAGCATTTCTTCATGTGTCTATTGGCCATCCTTCTTTCTTCTTCAGAGAAGTTTCTCTTTAAGTGTTTAGCCCACTTATTTATTGAGCAATTGTTTCTTTGAGGATTTATTGTGGGGGGATCTTCGTTAATTTCTAAGATGCAATTTGACTGTTGAATAATTGGAACACAGCACTATTTAGATAAACACATCTTTCCTCATTTTCATTTACATCAAAGGACTCTCCTAATAATGCAAAACTTTATTTATTTGATTTAGATATATGAGACTTCTTTTTCTTAGAGTTTAGGATCACCTTAACTACTTTTGGTTTTTAGCATTATAAATTTTAACTGAAGTTTTCTTTTTCTTTCAAATTTGTCATTTTATATTGCTATACTTTTGTTTTCTTTCATTTTTCTGGCACAGAAGTTTGTACTCAAAACCTCATGCTTGCTTAGCTTGTACTCTACCACCTGAACTATGTCTCTAGCCTGTCTTTTGACTGATTGTATTGGAGATGGAGTTGAGTTGACTTTGATGTCTGGACTGTGTTTGAATGTCTATCTTCCTGAGTAGCTAGGATGACAGTATGAGCAACTAGCTCCAGGCAATATTTTTATCCTTTTTAGTGACTTATCTGTACCACAACTGTTATCTTTCATGGATTTGTAAAGAACATTGGAGATGCTTAGCATGTTTTAGTTAAAAAAAAACAAAACGTTAATTTTCTTTGACAATTAAAGAATTGAGTTGGTTTTTGAATGTTGAATATTTCAGCCACTCTTGAATATTGTTCAAACTTACAGTCCTACAGAAATTATATATGTTTTAATATTCTGACATTGCCAAAACAGATCCAAAAAATAATGTTGATCATCTAAAAAATGACAGTGAAGCCAGATATATTAATCTGGGTACATGACTGTAATCCCCACTTTCAGTAGGCTAAAGAAATAAGATCTAAGTTTCAGGGAAGGCTAGGCTTTATAGCATAATATCAAAAGTGAGAAAAGAAAACTGTGGAGCACATGTGCAGCAAAGATGGCACTGAGACGGAGTTGAGTGGGCAGAGCCCAATTTGCTTTACATTCAGTGCATAACCAGTCCTTGGAAGCTTAGGTGCACGATCAGGTGTGCCTTTACAGTGATTGGTTCCTTTTCCTCCCCTGCCATACCACCTGCTCTTTTTTGCTTTACAAAGGGATTGCTCTGTGTTAATAAATGAGTTTTCCTGCTTGAGTTGACTCCCTGATGAGTCTGATTGTCTCCTGGGCTAAGGGAGGCTGGGGAATGGGTGAGCGGCCGCACTTACCTTTCCGCGGACACCGTCCGTCTTTTGTGGGACAGACAAAGACCCAACATCTGGCACCCAACGTGGGGCTCTAAAGGAAAAGATACAGGCTGAGGCTAAATGGTCTCTCAGGGTAAGTGAAACCTTTAGTATGGGTAATGAAATTTCACAGAAGAAGGAGGACGAGGCAACATTAGGCCTGAAGGAGTAAAGGAGAAGTGAGAAGGAAAAGGAATAGGTCAAATTTGACCAAGAACACACTGGAACATGCACAGTGGAAGTCAAAATGAGGGTGAAAGGTACCCCCTCTGACTCAGGTGCCCCTGACGGTCCTAGGCCCCCTCCCTATTCCCCCGTTTGGAGGGAAGGTACGGCTCCCTATGAGACCTGCAAGAGGGACCTGCAAAACCCGGACCCCTACCAACCTTCCATGGAGGGGCCAAGGGCTGGGGAAGTAACCTACTCGGAGACCTACCCTGGAAGGGAAGGGCCATGTGAGAGCCTGGACCCTAGGTCACAGGATTTGCTTCCCCAAGCATATCTGGTCAATCTGGCACCAGGGGCTAACAGGCCCTTGGAATGGTATCCATGGGAAGGTAAGGATCTTAAAGAGCTCTGCACGGCTGTGGCGGAGGATGGCTTGAACTCTCCTTGGGCCCAGACCCTATTATAGGACATTGCTTATCACCCATGTGTCCCTAAGGACTGGCTGGATGTGGCCAAAGCTGTCCTCACTAGTTCTCAGTTTATTAAATGGTGTGCTTTCTTTAAGGAGGAATGCAGAGTGCAGGCGGAGAATAACCAGCAGGCTCAACCCACAATACCTATTACTTATGCCATGTTAACAGGGATGGGGGAAGGGTACTCCACTGGCATCCAACAGGCCACAATACCTTGCCCATACCATGACCAGGTGAGGTAGGCAAGACTTGCAGCATTGTACAAACTGGATGATGGGCCTACTGAGTCCCCTATAGCAGGAGTGAGACAAAAACTGGGTGAGCCTGTACCTGATTTTATAGACTGAGTGCAACAGAGCGTTCACCACAAGCTGCCGTCAGGGAACCTCTGAGATCAGTTTGTAAAGCTACTGGTCTGGGAAGGGATGAATGCAGACCACCGCATGGCCTGTATGGGATTGAAAGAGAGTTCCCTGAGCAGATGGGTGGTGGCCTCATAGCATGTGGGAATGCAACAGCACCAGTCCCAATCATTAGCTTTAGCTTTACAGGCTCAGACAGCTGCAACGAATAAGGCTATTATCTAGGCCCTGGCAGCCTAGGGCCGAGGAACCCCAAGACCATTGGGGAGAGG